GGTGGTGGGCCCGCAGGTGGCAGAGAGGCCGCTCGCCCACGCACGGTATCGGCCGGGCGGGGCCGGGGAGCGGTGAGGAAGCACCGGGAGGAGACCGGCTGCTCCCGCCTCGCTGGCGGCGCGGCCTCGTCCTTCCTGGGGCTGCGGCCCCACACGACCCCGCCGCGCTGCTTTGCTGCCACGGCCGGCGAGATGCCCGCAGCGTGGGACGCGGGGCTGGTGGGGTCTGGGACCCTCCCCCTGCCCGCAGTGTCGGTGCTGCGGAGCTCTAGGACCGGGTGCTGGTGGGGTCAGGGGCCCCCCTGCCCGCAGTGTCGGTGCTGCAGGGCTCTGGGACCCGGTGCCGGTGCGGTCTGGGGTCTCCCTGCCCGCAGTGTCGGTGCTGCGGGGCTCTAGGACTGGGTGCTGGTGGGGTCTGGGACCCACCATCCACAACGTGGGACCCAGTGCTGGTGGGCTCTGGGACCCCCCTGCCCACAGTCCCGGTGCTGCGGGGCTCTAGGACCCGCCACCCACTGTGTGGGACCTGGTGCTGGTGGGGTCTGGGACCCCCTACCCACAGTTCTGGTGCTGTGGGGCTCTGGGACCCGCCACCCACAGTGTGGGACCCAGTGCTGGTGGGGTCTGGGACCCCCCTGCCTGCAGTCCCAGTGCTGTGGGGCTCTGGGACCCCCTGCCTGCAGTGTGGGACCCAGTGTTTGTGGGGTCTGGGACCCCCTGCCCCACACGCCTCCGCCGCTCACACTTTGTATTCAGGGGATGGCTCTGCAGGGCAGGCTGGCAGGGATGGTGTCTCTTGAGCGTCACACAAGCCACCCAGTGTGTGCCCAGGGCCTGCTCCCCTGGCTGGGCCGAGCAGGGCAAGGTGGCTGAGGGGCTACTGGTCCCCTCTCACGGATGCACAGGTTGCTTCCCCACTTTGCTCCATCCTCCACATCCAGGGAGCGTTTCCTCCCGGTGCCGAGGAGCAGGACGGGGCAGGAAGGTGCTGCCGGTGCCTCAGCCCTCCTAAAGCAGGTCCCTGTGGACCAGCAGGTGGGTTTTCCTTGGGGGGGAGAACTTTGGGGGGGATGGGGGAGGCTGGAGCCTGTCTGGGTGATATCCAAACCCAAGGCCCCGATGCTGCGAGCCGTGCTGGTGACCGTTCTTCCCGGGAGCCGAGGTCGCCCCGGGTGCTGCCGGTGAAGCCGCCGCCGCTGCCGGTAGTGCTGGCTCATGGGCCGGCTTCCTGCCCTGCCGCAGTTGTGCAACGCAGCTGATTAGGAGGCTGCTGTGACACCCCAGAAGTGACAGCGTTCGGCGGTGGGGAGTTTACTGTGTCAGATAAGGTGCGAGCGCCCGGCCCTGTTGGCGCCCCGGCCCGGCGCGGGCGTTGTCACACATCACCCATTAGTGGGAGAGCACTGCGGGGAGTGATTCTGCGAGCAGCCTCTCGCTGCTTCCCAGAATCGCCTGGAAGAGGTCCCGGGTCGCCCGTCAGCCTCAGAAATTGCCCTCTCGCTGCGCCGCGGGGCGGCGTGCGAGGTGAGCATCACAGCTACCTCCGAGTCCCTGTCGCGGGGCCGTCACAGTCCGTGGCTCTCCCAAAGCCCCGGGGCTCTGTTGGTTTTGCAGAAGAGGGTCTGGCGAGGCCTTGGCAATGGGGGGAGGCTTTTGCTGGTGGGATTGTGCTGACGCCAGTGTCTGAGGAGCGATGCACAGCTCCTCTCCCCCCGTCTGCCTCAGCAGAGAGCAAATCCGGGGGCGAGCAGCTGGCGGCACAGATGCGGGCTCCCCCCGCTCCTGCCAGGAGCTTCCACCCCCTTCCCGGCATCTCCCCGTGGGGACAGCAGTGACACCAAACCATCCCTTGACCAAGCGAGGAGGTGCAGGGGTGAATGTCTCTGGATCGGTGGGGTGAGGGTGTTGTGAGGGGCACCCAGCCCTGCCGTGCCGCAGCACCGGTGAGCACCGTCCCGTCCCGGCACCGTGTCCTGAGCTGGGCCCCGTCTGGGGTGAGGGGGATTGGGCAGCGCTGGAAATAATCCTGCTGCACCCGAGGGATTACTGCTCGCTCTGGCCTGGGGGATTAAGGGATTTCTCTAAGCGGGGCTGATGGAGCCTCCCGCAAAGCGGCTTGTGCTGGGGGTGGCCTCGCCGTCTGGGGCAGGATGGGCTGTGCAAGGTGCGGGAGATCCCCGAAGGAGGGTGGGTGGCAGGTCCCCTGGGATGCCGGGGGGGGGTCCCTACCCAGAGGGATCCCTGCCCTTGCCTGGCTGCCAGCCCGCACAGCCCTGTTTTGCCAGCAGGCCCTGGCAGGTCCCTTGGCACCGGCTCAGCTCTTTGGGAGGCAGCCCGTGACCGCGCCGTGCACCTCTGGGCTGTGGGGACTTGGAGGGGGGGACACACCAGCCCCATCCCTGTTGTGGGGTGAGCTGGGGCGAGATGCTGGGGGAGCAGCTCTTCCACAGAGCTCTGGGGCTCCCAGGTCAAAGACATGGGGACGGTGCAAAGACGGGACTGGGCTCAGGGAGCAGAGCCAGGGGCTGGTGGGGCTCGGGCAGCGCAGCGTGGGGCAGAGGCAATGAGCCAGAGCCTCTCCTGAGATCCTTGGGAGCAGGGAACGATAAGCCACGTCGCTGACGCTCAGGAATTGCACGTCAGGGACACAGCGGGGCCCACGTGTCTCCGAGCGGCTGTTTTGGCCCATTTCTGCTCTGGGCTGAGGGAGGGGGGAGGCTGCTCTCTGGGGAGCCGTTTTCCAGCAGACGGGATCATCGGGGGCTGGAGACTGGGGCTAACTTCATCCTGGGGGTTTGTGGCCCCCCTGGGTGTTTGTGACCCCCCTGCCTTGCCCGGGCAGGATGCGAGGATCGAGCCGGGTGTCAGGGTCACTCTGTGTGGGGGCTGGCTCTTGACCTTGCTTCGAGCCAGCCGGAGCACCCATGGGTGCCCTTGCTGCTCCAGGGGTTTCTCCAGATGCCATTCCGGGCCCCAGGCAGGCACTTGCCACACCACGTGCCCACCTCAGTGCCCCCAACCCCTCTCGCCTGCCCTTTTGCCTCCTGGCATTGCGGCAACCACCGCGTCGGCCCCTGGGAAAGGGGAAGTGGTGCCGAAACCAGAAGATTGGTCACGTCAGCGGCGAGTGCCCGGCTGCCCTCGCAGCCCCGGGACCTGCCCTTCTCCTCCACCATTCCTCCCCTCGTAGCCACACTGCTGCCGGGAGCCAGGCTCCCCTCCTGCCCACCCACCACTCTCCTGCCTGCAAGGGCAGCTTCTCCCTGGCGTGCCCTTCCCGCTGCCTGCCCCATCAGGGCTCCTGGGGACCCTGCCCGGCTCCGGTTTCTCCCAGCTCAGCGTGTTCCCGGTGCCGGCTCTGGCAGCCGGGCTGCCCCACGGGACGCTGCCTCCTGCCCCGACAGGCTCTGGGGTTTGTTACTCATGGCCGTGCCCTGCGCTCGGGGATCCCTCCTGCTTTGAGGGAGAGAGCTGTCGGTCCGGTTTGGGTTTGCTCATCGCCTGGTGGGGGGGTGGGATCCCAGGGCAGGACATTCGTGCTGCGGGAGCACCCCCGTACCCCAGGACCACAACAGATGGGGAGGCACCTCCGTCGCCGCCGGGACATGCCCGGAGCCCAGCCGTCTGACCGGCATCGCCGGGGGGCTGGCAGAGCGGGCTTGCCCGTGCACGGCACATGGGGCAGGCTGAGCCTGTCGGGGCTGTGCCCGCACCGGCGCCCGGGCCCTGTGCCCCACCAGCGGCACCCCCTGCACCCCACGCCTCACCAGAGCCGCCGCGTCTCTCTGGTGCACCCTCCTTTATGCAGCGCTGGTTGCTACGCGACCGCCGGCTCCCGATGCTTAATGCTCTAATACGGAGGGGATAAAACCGCTCTAAAAATACCCCGCTGCCAGCCCCCCCCGTGGGGGTAAAGGGGCTGCCGGGGGGCAGACGGCGCAGGGCTGGGGAGAAGGGGGGGGTGGACTGGACTGTTGGGGAGTTCCCAAACTCCTTGTCCTCTAAGTGGCTTTGAGCTGCCGTCCGGAGCGTGGGGAGCGTGGTGTGCAGGCAGGGAGCAACGGGGATTGGTTGGGGCTGGCGCGTGGGCTCCTGCCGCTGGAGCTTCCCTACCAGAGCCGCCTTCCCCGGCTCCAGCCAGAGCAGGGAGTCCTCCGGTTCCCCCTGCCCGGGGCTGCCGGGGGGCAGACGGCGCAGGGCTGGGGAGAAGGGGGGGGTGGACTGGACTGTTGGGGAGTTCCCAAACTCCTTGTCCTCTAAGTGGCTTTGAGGCGCCGTCCGGAGCGTGGGGAGCGTGGTGTGCAGGCAGGGAGCGGGCTGGTGTGCAGGCAGGGAGCAACGGGGATTGGTTGGGGCTGGCGCGTGGGCTCCTGCCGCTGGAGCTTCCCTACCAGAGCCGCCTTCCCCGGCTCCAGCCAGAGCAGGGAGTCCTCCGGTTCCCCCTGCCCGCTCCCTGCCCACGGGACCTGGCACCGGGGAAGCTCAGCCCCACGGGCACCCGCCAGGCCTCTGCCTGCCCCGTGGGAGCGGGACCTCGGCAGCAATGGGGACAGTCAGCGAGCTCTGTGCCTCCAGTTTCCAGGCCTTCCTCTGCCCCTCGGTGGCTGCCAAGGCAGGTAGGCACTTCATGCCCTTCCCTCTGCTTGCCACGGGGTCCCCGGCACCCCGGCAGACGTGGCAGTGCCCGCGGCTCCGGCTCCATATGGCTCCTGCTGACAGCGGCACAGAGAGTCCTCGCCGTCTCGCCGCCTCCTTCCCCCGCGCACCACCGGCCTCCGCAGGCTCCGGCTTCTGCCGGCACTGAGCTCCGGCGGGTGGCTAGCCATCGGGCTACCTCGCCTGGCATTGCCCTGCACCCCGTGCTGGGACAGGGCAGAGGGTTCTCAGGAGCTGCTGGTGGTGGTTGGGAGGATGCACGGAGCCCATGACGGCTGTGGCAGGTCCTGCCCTGCCCTGGGCGATGCGTGGGCGCTCAGCCGCCCTCGCCGCTGCGGCTGCAGGAGCTGCGGGGCCAAACCCGACCCTGTGCAGGGCACCCAGCACCTGCTGCGTGGGAGCTGCCGCCATGGGCTGGCCCTTCGTGGGAGCTGCTGTGACAGCGGGTTCCTGCCCTGAGTATGGATGGAGGGCAGCCGTGCCATGGGGCAGGAGGGTGCCAGACCCCTTCTGTGCCCTGCTGGCAGCCGAGGCCGAGCAGCCACCGGCCCTGCACCCCTTGAGGCTCAGCACACGGCAGGGAACAAGCGAGGTGCCCACCAGGCTGCAGTCCTGGCACCTGTGTGGTGCTCGGTGCATGTGGACGTGGCCGAGCCGGTGCCTGCCTGCGCACACTGTGGGCTGGGGCTCCCTGCGTGGGGGCTGCGGGAGCCTGGAGCCCCTGGGGAGCGAGGCAGCAGCTGTAGACGTGGGTTCCCTGGGGGGGGCTCTGGGCACAGGGAGCGGGGTGATGGGCAGGGCTGCTCCAAAGCAGCACGAGGGTCCTGGCCAGCCCCGGGTGCGGGGTCCGTCCACCTGAGAGGGTCTTTCCTGGAGCCTCCTGTCCCCAAACTCCTCCTGACGCACCTCGGCTGTCGGTGGGGAAGGACGGGGCTGACGCAACCCAGGATGTGCACGCGGCGCGGTGAAAACAGGATGTGGTGCGCAGAGATGGGCAGGAAGTTTCTGGGGGCCCCGTGGGTCCCCCCAGCCGTGGGGTACGGTACGAAGGGGTGGCAGCACCCCAAAACAGAGCCACGGGATGGCCGCTGGCAGCACCCTGGGCTCACCCTCGGCGGTCTGCCTCAGCCCGGTGCTGTTGTCCCTCCGGCATGGCCAGTGCAGGCACGGTATGGGCTAGCGGGAGGGCTGGCAAGCGCTGCAGCACAGCTGTGGGCCCAAGGACCGAGCTGAGGCTGCTGAAGCCCTTCCTCCCCGTGCTCCTCAGCCAGCGTTCCGGGTGCTGTTTCTCCATCTGGCGCTGCCGAGCAGGATTTAGCTGAGTCAAGGCGGCCGAGGCTCAGGCGGCCGCTCCAGGCAGTGACAGCGGGACAGGGACGGGACGGGGGACGGCTCCCGCTGCAGCCCCTGCACAGCCCTCCCCGTCCTGCACGGGGTTTGGTCCCTATAACCCGCACAGGACCAGGAACCTGCAGTGGGGGGGGTCTGGTGGGGCTGGACAGGGAGCTGTGGGGCTGGGATGGGGGTCTGCTGGGGTGGGGGGCCCCGGCATTGCCACAGCGAGCTCAAGATGTGTTGGGTTGAGCATCCTGGCAGCCCTCGAGGAAGGAAGGGCTGAGCCAGCCCCCAGTCCCTGCCTGCCCAGGACCCCAACGCATCACATCCCCCAACCCCAGGGCTGAGGAGGGGGAGCAGGACCCCGGCTGCCCCATTTTCCCCCCCCCCGGCCGGGAGCAGAGGAGTTAAGGTGCTTGCGGCCGCGGGCTGGTTGCGGCAGGAACAGGGTGTTGCTGCTGTTGGCTCCTGGCGAGGCCGGGATGACGCCCGGGTGGCCCCGGAGCTCATTGGCTCGGAGCAGCCCTGAGTCACCCCGGGAAGCACTGGGGAGGGCAGGTGCCCGCGCCCCGAAACAGCAGCACGGGCACAGCCGGTGGAGCTGCTGGAGACGGGCCCTGCCAGGATGGTGCTCAGGGCGGAGGGCAGCGGTGAGCCCGGCGTGGGGACACGGCGGGGGCTGGTGGGGCTGGGGCAAGGGGAAGTGGGTGAGCAGCTCCTCATCTACCCCCCTCCCGTGCCGCTGGGCTTGTCGGGGGGCAACGGGGTAGGAGGGAGCAGGGTTGGTGGGGGAAGTGTGGCTTCTGCACCCCCCGGGGGGGCTTTGCTGGGGGCAGCGGGAGCAGAGGACTTGCTGCTGGTCATGCTCCTGGCTCCCGTGGACCCCAGTGACCCTGGAGCAAGGGATGGATGGACAAATCCTGCTGGTGCCCCTTGTGCCTTCCTGCTGCCCCCGCTGTGCAGGGGCTCGGCTGTTGGCACCAGGAGCTGCAGAGCCCCCCAAGATCACCTGTGCTGGGGGCTGGTGGTGCTGGGTCCCCACGGTCCCTCTGCCCCCCCAAATCCCATGCCAGGGTGAAGCTGGGGCAGCGAGCGCTGGCTCCAAGCTCCCCTTCCCCGCAGCCCAGGGCAAGGCTCGCCGGCCTCTTGGGAGCCATTGGGGCCCCGCTCGGTGCTGTGCGGCGCTGGGGAAGGGTTAACGCCCTCTTCCTTCCCCAGAAAAGCTCTTGCGTCTGGGGTTTCTCTTCCTCAGGCGGCTGCTGACATGGCTGGGCTGCTGTCACGAGTGCTCGCCCTCCGCAGCGGCAGCGCAGGCGGGGAGGGACCTTCAGTACAGACCCTCCAGCCCCTTCTGCCCCGCAGCCTCTCCTCCTCTGCTGCGCCGGCCACGGGGCCTGCCGAGCCCCCAGCCCGCTCCCAGGTGGGCAAGGGGACACGGAGCCGCTCTTGCCAGGGCTCACTTTGCTGGTTCCAGCCTCCACTTTGCCTCGGGACAGGTCTAACCCTGGCACTGAATTTCTCCTCCACTGCGGCCACGGCCGGGCAGGAGGGTCCCGCAGCAGGAGGGTCCTGCAGCAGGAGGGTCCCACAGCTCGTGCTGCAGCCCAGGGATTTAAAGGGTTTTGTGTCTGGCAAACACATTTAAAGGGTTTTGTGTCTGTGCCCGGTGCAGCTCGGCAGCAAGCCTGGGCTCGCCGGGTGCCCGGGGCACTGGGCAGGAGGGGCTGAGCCCCACAGGAACGGTGCTGGGCTGTGCGAAAGGTGTTTGGACATATCGATAAGGCAATGCCAAGGGGGATTGGGAGTTTAAATAACTTTTAACCCGGTGCCACGAGGCGGGTTGTCTGGTTCGTGCTTCCTTGCGTCAGAGGCTGAAAATATTGGGAACTGTCGCTGTCGCGTCTGGAGGGACGGTGTCGCAAGAAGCTGGGGCTGCCTCCGGCCGCGGCAGCGGGGGATTTTTGCGAAGGAGGAAGCTCGTCAGAAAGCCCCAGCGCAGCCGGGGAAGTGCTGAGTTGGGAGATTCACTTTGCCTGGTCGCGGCTCCCACAGCGGCGGCGGTGGCACTGGGAGGAACGATGCGTGGCTGAGGTCCGAGGGCACGTGGTGGCCTCTGGGCGCTGGTCGGGGCGGGTGGCAGCTCCCACGGCGGCGGCGGTGGCGCAGGGAGGAACGATGCGCGGCTGAGGTCCGAGGGCACGTGGTGGCCCCTGGGCGCTGGTCGGGGCGGGTGGCCGTGCTTGGGACGTGCTGGGGCTGGTGGCTGCGGTGGCCTGGGGACCAAGGACGTGGTGGTGGCACGCAGGGCCTTGGAAGAGCGGAGCGGTAACGTCTGGGGAAGGAGAGGGTGGTGGCAGCCCTGTCCCTGGCACCCCCAGGCTGGACGTGGCTGCTGCCACCGCCCTCGGGGACATGCTCTGGAGGATGGGACGGTGCTTTGGTGTTCTCGCCGGCAACCGTGGTGTGGTGTGGTGTGTGGGAGGGAGCCCTGGAACCCGCCGGTTGGCAGAGAGGGCCGGGAGGGCTGCCGGAGGAGCGGGTGACCTTGGGGACAGGAGGGAACAGAACGGGGATGCTGTGTCCCTGCGGAAGGGGAGGTCACGCGCCAGGGAGCACTCGGAATGTCTCAGGAGCAGTGGGGCTCAGGAGGAAGGTGGGGGACGTGGAACCAGCCTCGGGGCTGGTTTTGGGGAGGGAATGCCTGGCTCCCTGGGGTGACAGGGAGGTGTAGGTGTCAGGGTGTGTGGGTGAGGTTTGTCCAGAGGGTGCACCGGCTCCGGGCGCTGGCGTGGAAGGACGGATCCAGCACCGAGAGGGTGGAAGGGCGGCCGGGAGCTGGTTTTCTCCAGGCTGACCCGGTGTGGCAGAGCAACCCACGGGTACCCAGGCCCATGTGGGGCACAGCAGAGCCACCCAGCCGCAGCAGGGACAGGGACGGGCACCCACACCGGCCCGGCTGGAGCCATGGGGAGGAGTGCTGGAGCCAGCCCAGGGGCCATGCCAGCCCTTGCTGCCCTCCCTGCCCAGCTGCCGCGGGCTGAATCAGCAGGAAGGGGCAGTGCCCGGCTCCCCCGCTGCCCTGCGGGGTGATGTCCTGGCCCTTGCATTCCTCGCGTGCCGTTGGTGGCACTCGGCCGCTGCGCAGGGACTGGGACAGAGACGCTGCTCTGGGGTCCCCCTGGGGCACCCGGCAGCTCCACATCCCAGCTCCGGGGCTGCCAGTGGGAGCAGCGGTGGCACCTCTACTCTGCACTCGTGAGACCCCACTTGGAGTACTGTGTCCAGCTTTGGAGTCCTCAACACAGGAAGGACATGGATCTGTTGGAACGGGTCCAGTGGAGGGCCACGAGGATGATCAGAGGGATGGAGCACCTCTGCTATGAAGACAGGCTGAGAGAGCTGGGGTTGTTCAGCCTGGAGAAGAGAAGGCTCCGGGGAGACCTTATAACGGCCTTTCAGTACCTGAAGGGAGCTGGAGAGGGACTCTTTACAAAGAAGAGTAGCGACAGGACAAGGGGCAATGGTTTTAAGCTGGTGGAGGGGAGATTTAGGTTAGAAGCTAGGAAGAAATTCTTTACAGTGAGGGTGGTGAGGCACTGGAACAGGTTGCCCAGGGAGGTCGTGGATGCCCCATCACTGGAGGGGTTCAAGGCCAGGCTGGATGGCTATTTGAGCAACCTGCTCTAGTGGGAGGTGTCCCTGCCCAGGGCACGGGGGTTGGAACTAGATGATCTTTAAGGTCCCTTCCAACCCAAACCATTCTATGATTCTATGACACTGTCTATGACACGCTGACCTGACTGTGTCTTCTGCCCAGTGCCCAGTGACCTGACCCCCGAGGAGTGCCAGGAGCTGGAGAACATCCGCCGCCGCAAGCAGGAGCTGCTGGCTGACATACAGGTGTGATGCTGGGGGCCACCACTGTCCCCTCAGGGAGGCGGGGGACAATCTCCCTGCCCATGTCACTGGGCAGGGTCCCTGCAGCCCCATCCAGGGTCCCTCGCCCTGCTGCTGGGCTCGGGGAGGGTGGCCCAGGAGAGGCTGGCAGCGCTGTCTGTGATGGCCGTGGCATCGGGGTGCAGTGCCCCAGACCCTCAGCGTGCCCTTGTGCCATTCCCGCTGCCTGGGGCACCGGCGTCTCCGTGCCAGCCCCCCCCTGGCACGGGTAGGGACTGTGTCTCTGGGCCAGGCCACTGCCCTGGCAAGCGACTGCGAGGTCAGCGCTCATCTGGGACACTCGTCAGCCTGATTAAGGCAGCAGAGGCTAATTACTGCCATATGCCGGGCATGATCTAAAGGGATTAGGGGGTAATTTTGTTAACCTCTGAATCTCTTCCTTCCTGCCCGCTCGGAGCATGGCGATGCAGCGGGGGATTAGCAGCGGGGTGCAGCCAGCCCCCTCTGCCAGTGTCCCCCAAGCTGGGCAGCACTCGGGGTGCAAAGGAGGGAGGGAGGGAGGGAAAGAAGGGGCTTCCAGGGCCTCCTGGGGGGAATGGCCCCGGGGGTAGTGTCAGAGCTGGGGGGCTGGAGGGTTTGGGAGGGAGGGAGGCACCTCCTGTCTCAGCACGCTCTCTCCCCTCAGCGGCTGAAAGATGAGATAGCAGAAGTGACGAATGAGATCGAGAACCTGGGCTCCACGGAGGAGAGGTGAGTCCTCTGCTGTGGTGGCAGCCCCCGGCCTCCGCTGAGCACCCCACCCTGGCTGCCGGGAGCTTTCCCAGGCACTCTGAAATCCCTGGAGCGGTAGCAGGATCCCCCAGTCTGAGCCCCTGCTCCAAAGGTCTGTTTTTCCAAGCCTCGGCCCCTCTGTCTGGCCGCAGCGACTGTCGGGGTTTGTTGTTCTGAGCCGGCGCGGGCAGTGCCAGCCTGGGATTAGGGGGTCCCGGGAGCTGACTCCCGGCGTCGTTTCCAATCACTCACTGGGGCGTGAAGGCTCTCACCCCCTCACTGGCCCCACTGGGGGCTGGCAGCTGCTCTGCCCAGACCCCCACACCACCCAGCTCGCCCTGGCCTCCCCCACGCAGAGGTGACCTGTGGCGATGCTGTACCCGGCTCCTTTCCGCATGGGGTGACCCAGTGGCCAGGGCACGGCAGCTCTTCTTTGCTCCAGGGCTTGGCAGCCCCCGAGCTGCCCCATCTGTGCCAGGGGGAGAGAGCACGGAGCAGAGACACGGAGCAGCGCGCTGCCTTTGCCCCGTGTGGGTTGGACGCAGAAGGACCTGCCCCTGTGAAAGTTTTGGGGCTCCCATTCGGTCTGGGCTGGTCCCTCTGCGGGGTGCTGTGCCCGAGGGGTGGACGGGGGGACAGCCAGGTCCCTCCTGGGTGCTCAGAGCTGCTCTGTGCCCCGCAGGAAAAACATGCAGAGGAACAAGCAGGTGGCCATGGGCAGGAAGAAGTTCAACATGGATCCCAAGAAGGTACTGTGGGGCGGGCTGGCAGGGAGCGGGGCAGTTCAGCAGCCCCTCTGGGGCTGTGCTGGGCTCTGCCCTCATGGTCCAGGTGCCTGGCCACCCACGGGGACTGGGGCAGAGCCAGCACCCAGGGCAGGGGCTGGGAGGAGGTGGGCAAGCTGGCGGGGTCAGCAGCAAGCCCCAGAGCAAGACCCCTTGCACCGCTCCAGGGCATCCAGTTCCTGATTGAAAACGACCTGCTGAAGAACACGTGTGAGGACATCGCCCAGTTCCTGTACAAGGGAGAGGGCCTCAACAAGACAGCCATTGGTGACTACCTGGGCGAGAGGTATGCTGGCCAGGGGTGGCTGGGCTCTCTTGAGGATGCCCTGGGCTCCCGCTGGCTGAGAAATGGGACAGTGCAGCTCTTTGAGCTTCCAGCGGGGTACATGGGGGGTGGGCACCCTGAGTGCTGGGGATGTTCAATCCATGGCCAGCACTTGCCAGAGGCCGGTGTGTGCAAACAGCCCAGGACTTGAGGAGGGGGCAGCTGCAAGTTTCACCCCCCCGCTAACCCCCCCAGAGCTGAGCAGAGGCTGGAGCGGAGCAGGGAGACGTGGGGCCGCCCGGCAGTCACAGGACTTGCTGATCACACATCCCTCGTGCTCTGGCTTTGTTCCCGCAGGGATGAGTTCAACATCCAAGTCCTGCATGCCTTCGTGGAGCTGCACGAGTTCACCGACCTCAACCTCGTGCAGGCCCTGCGGTGAGCAAGCGAAGGGGGCCGGGGGGGCTGCTCCATATCCCCTCGGGGGAGAGGGGCTGGGGGCTGCGGGGGGTTCACAGGGAGCCCCCAAAGCAACGCGACCCCTTGTTCTTCACAGGCAGTTCCTGTGGAGCTTCCGGCTGCCCGGGGAGGCGCAGAAGATCGATCGGATGATGGAAGCCTTTGCCCAGCGGTACTGCCAGTGCAACCCTGGTGTCTTCCAGTCCACAGGTGAGTGCCCGTCCTGGCCCCTCTCCCCTCCATCCTGGCTCTCTCCATCCCGCCTTGTGGCTGACCTTCCCCCCCTTGCCCCTCTAGATACCTGCTACGTGCTCTCCTTCGCTATCATCATGCTGAACACCAGCCTGCACAACCCCAACGTCAAGGACAAACCCACGGCGGAGCGCTTCATCGCCATGAACCGTGGCATCAACGATGGGGGGGACCTGCCTGAGGAGCTGCTGCGGGTGAGGGAGGGGACGTGGAGGGGACGGGGCTGGGTCTGCTCCCGGGTGGAGCAGAGCTGACGCCGTGTGTGGTTGTACCAGAATCTCTATGAGAGCATCAAGAACGAGCCCTTCAAAATCCCCGAGGACGACGGCAATGACCTTACCCACACCTTCTTCAACCCCGACCGGGAGGGCTGGCTGCTGAAGCTCGGTGAGTGCCGGTAACAGGGTCCTTGGGGGGAGCTGGGCTGTGGGTGCGATGCCCCTGGGCTGGCTGGGCACCTCTCCTGGCCAGTCTCTATGGAGCATGGTGGCCCTGTGGAGGGGCAGGAGGCTGCGGATGGGGCACAGCCCCTGTGGGGAAGGTGTCCTTCTGTCCAGCAGCCCTCTGTCCTCCCTGGGCTGGGCAGCAGGAGCAGACTCAGCGGCTGAGACCCTGGGTGGGCATCCTGGGGGACTCTGCCTCTAGGTTGGGCAAACCCTGGGGTGCAGAGCTGGCACCGGGGGGTCCGTCATCGGAGCACAAGAGACCACGAGGCCCCTTCTCATCACCGAGTTCCCAGCAAGGGTCCTGCCGGAGCAGGACCCCCGGGAGTGAGCGGCGAGCGAGCTGCCCCAGGCTGCGTGTGTCCCCATCCCCCCCCCTACCCCCCTACTCCATGCCACAGACTGGTCCCTGCCTCACCCCTTCCCACAGCATTTATCACCTCCGCATTATCCCGGCTCCACATGCAGGCAGCGTGCATGGCATCCCTGCTGCACAGCCCGGCTCCAGGCCGGCCAGCCCGCTCCACGCCCTGGCTCCTGTGGCTTCTCCTCTCGGCACCTCTGGGGAACCCTCTGCCCGGGTTAAGCGAGGGCTGGGGGAGGGAATCGGGGGGTCAGCAGGAGCGGGGTCTGGTGGGGGCTTTTCCCTGGGGCTCTGTCCTCTCACCGGGGGGTGTTTCTGCCATATCACCACCCCCTCGGGATGGGAGATGAGCCTTACCCCCCCACTGCACCCTGACTGGTCCAGGGGCTGAGCGGGGACCATCTGCCCCCCAGCTCTGGGGTGGGGGGGACGCGGGGGAGAGCCCCAGACCTACCTCTGCTGTCCCTGAGCAAGCCCAGTGCATGGCACATTGGTGTCTGCCACCATCGGGGCTGTTGGTGACCAGGGGGGCAGAGAGGCAGCCCCTGCCTGGCTGCCGTGGCTCAGCCCGCTCGTGGGGCAGGGAGGGACCCCCAAGGAGGCCACAGGGTAAGGGGAGCCCCATGTGCCCCCCAGCCGAGGAGATCCATCCTGCAGAGCCACAGCGAGCCAGGGCAGGGTGACCCCCATGGCGGTGCCACCCACCAGCCCCTCACGGCTTCCCTGCTGCAGCCCTGCCCCACTGACCCACGCGGGGCGAGGGGGGTTCTTCGGGGTTTCCTCTTTATTTTTCCTATATTTTTTTTATCCTTTTTTTTTTTTTTTTTAATTTTCTTTTCTCCCTCATTTGTATGTTTCCATGATTTTGGCTCTTCCTTTCCTTGTCCCCAACTCCAGGAGGTACGTACCCCTCTCCCCGCTCTTGCTCACGCCGCTGGGGGCTTCATTGCCTTTTCGTTTTTAATTGCTGGTGATTAGTCTCATTGCTGCTGCTGCTAACCACCCGCACCGCTCCGGGGACCTCGCCTGCCGCGGGGACAGCCCCGCTCCCGCCGCCGCCGCTGGGGCAGGGATGCGGGGTACCAGCCCCGCTGATGCCAATTGCCCCCCCCTGGGCCTGCTGGCCCCCTCCCCTGCCCTGCTGCACCCCACGGCGTGGGGACGGGCAGGAACGGGGCTCCTTGCCCAGCCGCTGGCGGGGGTTGCCCACCCGTCCGTGCTTTGCAGGCAGCTGGGCTCGGCCACAGCGGGTCTTTGCCTCCGGTGCCACAAGGGATGGGGACGGGTTTGGGGTGTCCTCAGGAAGGGCCCCAGCCTGTGTTTGGGGGGGGGGGGGGGGGGTTTGGGGGGGCGGAGTGCCTGGAGCTGGATGGGGACAGGCAGGAGCCATTTGTGGGGTGCCCTGTGCTGCACCGGGGGCTTGTGGCAGTCCCTGAGCTGGGTGCTGGTGCCACCCCGGCTCCATCACCTGCATCCCTGGGGTGCCAGGGAGTGTTGGTGCTACCCCCTCCCTTGGCCCTTGGTCCCCTACGACTCTGCAGGTGCTGCCCGACCTGTAGACCCTGGGCTCCTCCTGCGCTCCCTGGGCTGCGGGACCCTGGCACGTGGCCACTGCCCACCCGCAACCCTGGGGGAGGAGGTGGCCCTGGGTTGGGGGGCTGGAGCGGGTGAAGCCCCAGGTTTTGGGGTGGGCTTGGCTGGGGGGGGAGGCAGAAGGGCTTTTTCCTCTAGGGAGTGCTGGCCGCAGCCTGGCTTTGGGGCAGGAACTGGGGTGGGCAGCCAGCAGGGATGGGGGAGAAGGGAGGCACGGGGGCTTCCCGGTGGGGTGCGGGGGGGGATGAGCCTGGCACACATGGTGCCAGCCCTGGTGCTCGTCCCAGACATCTGGCACCGCTGCCATGGCCAGAGCATGCTGGCCCAGTGGAGGGGAGGGGGGGCAGGCCCAGGGATGAGGGGTCCCCGAGCCCAGGGAGCGGCTTCTCCCTCTTCAGTGGCCATTGTGAATCTCCCCCCAAAAGCCTGGGCACCGTGGCCCTGGGCTCACGCTTTGCCCTGGCACCGGGCTGCACTGGCCAGGACACAGCAGGACCAGTGGGCAGTGTGAACAGAAAGTCCCCACGTCCTCCCAAGAGCTGGCCCGGCTGCAACATCCTCTGGCCACGCCGAGACAATGCTTTGGGGTGGGAAGGGGCGCAGCGCTCCCGGCTCGGATCCCCCCCCCTCTCCTTCTTCCCTGCCACCCTCCACCTCCATCCTCATCCGTCTGCTTCCCGCTCCTGCCTGTGCCCTGCCCGGTCTGGTGTGTGCTGCTGCCTCTGCTTGTGCCCGGCGCCGCTGCTTGGCTGTGTGTGTCCACCCCAGGGGCTGTGGCTCTTGCTGTAGCCCCTCCGTGTGCCATGAGCCCCCCCCAAGAGCGCCTGCCCCCCCCGAGCCCAACCTGCCCCTCTCTGCCCGCAGGAGGCAGGGTGAAGACGTGGAAGCGGCGCTGGTTCATCCTGACCGACAACTGCCTTTACTACTTCGAGTACACGACGGTCAGTGCCCTCGGCTCGGGGGGTGAAGGGGGGATGCTGGGTCCCCCGGGGCAGGGAATGCCCCCAGATCCTTCATGGCATGGAGAGGACACAGCGTCCCATCCCGGTGCCGGGGTGTTGGAGACTGATGGGGTGCAGGAGGGGACCCTTGGACCAGGCAGCCCTGGGTACCTGTTGGGGAGAGGGGTGTTTGCAGCATCCAGGTGCACGGGGTGGGGTTTGGGGGTGTCCAACCTGTACCTAAAACCTCTGCTTGCTTGCCCCCCCTGCCCCAGGATAAAGAGCCCCGTGGCATTATCCCCCTGGAGAACCTGAGCATCCGCGAGGTGGAGGATTCCAAGAAGCCCGTGAGTGTGGGAGCAGGGTCCCTGGGGCTGGAGGTGCTTTGGTTTGGGTTAGAGGGTGCAGGGAGGGCCGGGGGGTGCTGCAGCCTCCTGGGGGGTTCTCTGGGGGGGGTGAGAGGACCCCACAGCGGTCGCTGCCCCCACCCATCACAGTGGCTGGGGTCCGGTCACCACAGTGGCCAGGGCTGGTGGTTGGGGGCTGTGGGGTGACAGTCACAGCGTGTCCATCCCTCTCTGCTGCACTGGGGGTGGCTGTGCCAGGGGTGCCCTGTGTCCCCGGTGCTCTGCCTCCCGGTCCCTCCCAGCCTGGGGTCCCCCTTAGAAGCGGGGGCTCCCTCTGAGCGGTCTCCTCTCTCCCAGAACTGCTTCGAGCTCTACATCCCCGACAACAAGGACCAGGTGATCAAAGCCTGCAAGACGGAGGCGGACGGGCGCGTGGTGGAGGGGAACCACACCGTGTACCGCATCTCGGCCCCCACCACCGAGGAGAAGGAGGAGTGGATCAAGTGCATCAAGTGAGTGCTCCGGGGAGCGGGTGGTGGTCGGGGGGACACACGCCATCCTTTGGGAGCACCCCACAAGGATGGGGGGGACAGAGCTTTCCCAGGGGCACAAAGGGGCCTGCCCGAGGTCAGACCCAGCCCTGCTGCAGTTTTTCCTGGCCCCACAGCTCACCCAAGCCCTCGTTCCCCTGCCAGGGCCGCCATCAGCCGGGACCCTTTCTACGAGATGCTGGCTGCCAGGAAGAAGAAGGTCTCCTCCACCAAGCGACACTAGCAGCCTCCGCGGGCCCTGCGAGGCCAGCGCCCCCCAGCAGCCCCAGCCTCTCCCCCCATGGAGGGCTGTGGGGCTGGGGCCGCGCTGCAGCCTGGCCCCCGGGGCCCAGGACCCAGCTTCAGCTTCGCAGTTTCTTTACCGTGGGGAGAGGGGAGGGCGGGGGGGACATGGACATCTCAGTGACTCTGCCCCCCCCCCTCCATCACTGCCTCATCTCCGGGACAGCATCTTCACAGGCTTGAAGTGGGACCCCACAGTCCTGCCCCGGGCTGGGCTGTGGGACGGGGGGTGCTGTGGGTCTGTACTGTCCTCCCCACCCCCCCAGCCTTGGCCAGTGCCCACCCTGCTCCTGACATCCCCCCCCAGCAAGCACATGCTGCTGGGTCCCCCCATCACCCCTGTCCTGAAGCACTTGGGGTGTCCCCTCGGGAAGGTGAACGGTGGTTTTGGGGTGTTGGGGTGAAGGAGGCAGCCCCAGGGGCCGGGGGTCCCCAAGGAGGGACAGCTCCTGGCCCTCGTTGTAGCGGGCCTGAGTCTGTCCTGGGTTTCCCCCATGCCACTTCCTCAGCCCCCCCCCCAAAATGTCCCCAGCAGCGGGGACAGTCACTGCGGGCGCAGGGAGGGCTGAGGGTCAGGGGGCTGTCACTGTTGCGTGGGGTGCCATGTGGGGCAAAGACGTGTCCTCACCCAGCCATGGGGTGCCAGAGCTTGGATGGGGGCACCGGTCCGGCAGCACCAGGGTGGCACATCCTTGCCATGAGACCGTGCCAAGGTGGCCATCATCTCCTGGAGCACGAGCCCTCGCTGCTGAGCGGGTGATGGGCCTGGGCCGGTGGCTGCCGAGGGGGTCTGGCCGGGCTGGGGGCTCTCTGCCTTGTGAACACCCGTGTCCTGTCCCGTTCCCACCACGCAGGGTCTGGAGAGAGGCGCCTGGATCAGTATTAAGTCTATTTATCAGAGGTGTAAATACTCCTGTATAGTTTTCTCCTTTTAGATTATTTTGTATGTGGGGTCGTTCTGTGCAGAGGCCTCTCTGGAGGGCGGGGGAGGGGGAGGGGGAAGGGACGAGCAGGTTTTTTTTTATGATAACTTTTTTTTTTTTTTTTTTTTTTTTTTTTTACCACGGCCTTGTAAACCAGTGCTGAGGATCTGCAGCAAATAAACGCCGAACCACCCTCAGCCTCGGCCTCCTGTGCTCTGTGTGGGGCTCGGGATGGGCGGGAGGTGGGAACCCTACCCGGGGTGGTACCAGCTGTAAATGGGATTGTGATCAAAAATCCCACTCGGGGCCAAGGGCAAACTGGGAACTGCCACCCCCCCGGGCTGTGCCGCTGCCACCGGGGCTGGGGGAGCCCAGTCTGGCTGCTGCACGGTGCAGGGAGACCTGGGCTGTGGTGGGGAGCTGGTGGCAACCTCTACCGTGTCCCCCCATGGCCTTGGCCCCATGAGTTCAGCCGGGGTGGTGGGTGTGTGGGCAAAGAGCCCCAGTTAAGGGGCTGGGGGGGCAGCCCTGCCCTTCTGTCAGTTGGGGCTGGTGCCGGTGTCGGTTGGAGCTGGTGCCGGTGTCGGTTGGAGCCAGTACTGGTGCCAGTTGGGCTGTGGACGGTCACTGGAGGCAGTTGGAGGGCTGAGGAGTGAGACAGAGCAGGGGAGCGGTAGGGCCGGGCAGGACTGGGGGCAATGGGGCCAAGGATGGGGCAGGCTGGGGGGCAATGGGACCAAGGATGGGGCAGGCTGGGGGGCAATGGAGCTTGGGGGGGCAATGGGACCAAGGATTGGGGCAGGCTGGGGGGCAATGGGACCAAGGATTGGGGCAGGCTGGAGGGCGACGGAGCTTGGGGGGTGGCGGGGCCAGGCAGGGATGGGGCCGGCATCTCCCCATGGGGCCACAGTGTGCAGAGGGATGGCTGAGGGTGGTGGTTGGGAGGAGTGAAGAGGGGTTGGGGTGTGGGGTCTGCACAGCCCCAGGCTGAGTGAGGCTTTGCCTGCACCCCCCCCCCGGGTCCCCCAGGTGCCAGGGTCGAGCCCAGTGCCGGCAGGATGTCGGATGAGCGGCATCGCTTCCTGGAGAGCTTCGCCACGCTGCTGCTGCGGGTCCAGCCCGACGAGTGGAACAAGTTCCTGGGCAGCGAGGAGGCCATGGCCGAGGTGGACGAGTTCTTCAGGCAGCAGGACGTGCAGGAGCTGGTGCTGGGGCTGAACCCTGCCGGGCTGCTCCAGCCCACCACCTGCTTCTCGCCCGCCCTCAAGGCCAAGGCCATCTACTTCGTGAAGAAGAAGGAGGAGAACATCACCCAGGAGAACTGCCAGAGCGCACTGCTGGTGGGAGACATCGCCCCCTCGCCAGTGGAACAGTTCATCACCGTGATGGAGGAGGTGGGTGGCCCACAAGGGTGGGCACTGGGTGCAGGTGTGGGGCAAGCAAGACACCCCGAGCTCCCTGCACACACCACTGCAGCCCAAACTTTAGGTGGGCTCCAAAAGAAATGAAATGAAATGAAATTCATAGAAGAAAAATTGCCCCAGGCACTGGCCCTGGCCTCGCGGTGGCTCCTGCTGTGCTGGTGGGACCGAGCCCCACCAGGACAGAGCTGGGTGAAGGTCACAAGCCTGGTTTTCTCCCAGGCCCCAGCTGAATCGCTTCCTCCCTGTGGTTTTAAAAACTCAGCGTAATTCCCCTTTCCCCGTGCCCCACAGCTGGGAAATGTCAGAGTGGATTTCTCTCAAACTTCCCATAAACATTCCCGCTCGGGGAACTGCCAGCCCAGAGCACCCCAAAGCTGAGCCCCTGTGATTCCTCCTCCTCCTCCTCCTCAGTGCTGGGGGCTTTTGCTTGATGCATTCACCATGCTGCTCCCAGCACTTCCCAGCCCACGAAAGTTGGAAACCCACCACGGGGTCAGTGTGCAGAGGGATGGCTGAGGGTGGTGGTTGGGAGGAGTGAAGAGGGGTTGGGGTGTGGGGTCTGCACAGCCCCAGGCTGAGTGAGGCTTTGCCTGCCCCCCCCCCCCGGGTCCCCCAGGTGCCAGGGTCGAGCCCAGTGCCGGCAGGATGTCGGATGAGCGGCATCGCTTCCTGGAGAGCTTCGCCACGCTGCTGCTGCGGGTCCAGCCCGACGAGTGGAACAAGTTCCTGGGCAGCGAGGAGGCCATGGCCGAGGTGGACGAGTTCTTCAGGCAGCAGGACGTGCAGGAGCTGGTGCTGGGGCTGAACCCTGCCGGGCTGCTCCAGCCCACCACCTGCTTCTCGCCCGCCCTCAAGGCCAAGGCCATCTACTTCGTGAAGAAGAAGGAGGAGAACATCACCCAGGAGAACTGCCAGAGCGCACTGCTGGTGGGAGACATCGCCCCCTCGCCAGTGGAACAGTTCATCACCGTGATGGAGGAGGTGGGTGGCCCACAAGGGTGGGCACTGGGTGCAGGTGTGGGGCAAGCAAGACACCCCGAGCTCCCTGCACACACCACTGCAGCCCAAACTTTAGGTGGGCTCCAAAAGAAATGAAATGAAATGAAATTCATAGAAGAAAAATTGCCCCAGGCACTGGCCCTGGCCTCGCGGTGGCTCCTGCTGTGCTGGTGGGACCGAGCCCCACCAGGACAGAGCTGGGTGAAGGTCACAAGCCTGGTTTTCTCCCAGGCCCCAGCTGAATCGCTTCCTCCCTGTGGTTTTAAAAACTCAGCGTAATTCCCCTTTCCCCGTGCCCCACAGCTGGGAAATGTCAGAGTGGATTTCTCTCAAACTTCCCATAAACATTCCCGCTCGGGGAACTGCCAGCCCAGAGCACCCCAAAGCTGAGCCCCTGTGATTCCTCCTCCTCCTCCTCCTCAGTGCTGGGGGCTTTTGCTTGATGCATTCACCATGCTGCTCCCAGCACTTCCCAGCCCACGAAAGTTGGAAACCCACCACGGGGTGAGGGGACTCCTGGTCACGCTGATTAGAAAAACATCAGCAAAACCTGTGGCTGGGCTGAGACCACGCTCAGATGGGTGGTGAGAGGGGACACTGCAAACCAGCGCAGCTGGATGTGCCCTTGGTGGTGGGAGAATCCAACCAAGCGCCAGACAGAGCTCTCTCCACCAGGTCCTCTTCCCCCTGCTCCTGAGCGAGGACAACGTGGCCGGCTGGCCCAGGGTGGTGGTGGAGGACATCAGGCGACGAACCCACCAGCTGAAGAACGAGCTGTTCATGATGAGCGGGAAGATCCAGGGGAAGCCGCTGCTCCCGCTGCCGGAGCACCTGTTCAGCCAGGATGGATCCAGCACCGTCCTGGAGAGGTGGGTGCCACAGGGTCCCAGGGTGGCATGAGTCCCTCTGTGGGGGACAGGAGCTGGGACACCAGCTCAGTCCCTGAACATCCCTGGGCACAGCCACGAGCACCTTGGGGAGGCTGTGCCAGGCCACCACGCTGGTGGAGGTGGCCACAAGCAGGCGCAGGGGGCTCCCCCATGGCAAACAAAAACCAGTGGGGGGGTTGGGCCCAGTCCCGGTGCTGGAGCATAACCCGGCTGCCTTTCAGCCTGGCAGGGCCTGTGGACATTTCGGTGCTGCACTCCATCGAGACCGTCGTCATCGAGTGGTCCCACCAGATCAGAGATATCCTGAGCAAGGACTCAGCACAGCCGCTGCTGGAGGGGCTGCACCCCTTGCCCAGGACTGAGTTTGAGTTCTGGCAGACCAGGATGGACAACCTGCAGTGCATCAACGACCAGGTACCTCTTGGCTCTGGGTGCCTACGTGTCCCTGGGTGCTGAGCCCCTGGTGCTGAGCCACCACCTCTCCCCTCCAGCTGCTTTCACCCCGGGTGGCGGCGCTGGCCGAGATGCTGGAGAAGGCCAACAGCTGCTACTGGCCCGCGCTCCAGAGCATGTTCAAGGACGTCAGCTCTGGTAAGCCCCCGGGTGATGTGGTGGGCAGCTACCACTCGCTCCTCCGGTGAGGATTCCCTGTCCCCAACCCAGAGTTTGTCCCCTGGTGCAGGCCTGGAGGAAGCCAAGGACATCAGCCTCTACCTGCAACCACTTCAGCTTGTGCTGGAAGAGCTGGAGCAAACTGATTACTCCCAGGTGAGGTGTATGTGGTGGAATAACCAGGTAGAGGCTGCAGGTGGGTGCTGACCCACCCTGGCTCTGCCTGACCCTCCTTAGAGCTGGGGCTAACGAGGCTCTGCTCCTGCAGCTGCAGCCCCACGTGGACAGGACGCTGTGCACCGTCCGCCTGCTGCGGGCTCACTGCCAGCACTACAGCACGCCCGCCCACGTCATCGTCATCCTGCAGGAGATCTGCAACCTCCTCATCGAGATGGTAAAGCCCCCGGGGACGGCTCCACCACCCAGCCACCGCCACCTCCTCCGCCTGGGGGGGGGTGACATAGGGCAGGGGTGGGGGTCACATAGGGACACCCCAATGAAGGGACCAGCAGAGCCCCCATGCGGGGCTGGAGGGGGTTTGGGCTGCAGGTGATCACCAGAAAGGCTGGGGGGGCTGGTAGGGGGTGGGGGCAGGAGGAGCCCCCACACTCCCCTCTGCCCATCTTAGACCCGCAACTTCCTGAGCCCCGAGGATGTGATGAAGGGGCTGCAAGGAGAGACCGAAGAGACTTTAGAGGGAATAAAACTGAGCATTTCCACCATCGAGAAGTTCCTCCAGTCCTACAGCACGTACTGCTCCAACCTGCTGCCCGTGTCGCCGCCGGTGGGTGTCGGGGGACGGTGTGGACCCACCTTAGACCCTCCACACCAGCCCTGCTCACCCACGGCCCCTCTCCCCTTCCAGGAGGAGCCACAGCTCTGGGAGTTCCCCCGCTCCCTGGTCTTCAGGAGAATGGACTCCTTCTTGCACAGGCTCAAGATCATCAAGGTGACAGCCCAGCATTTCGGGGCATGGCATCAGGCCTGTGAGGACCCCCTTTTCCCTGGGGGACACTGTGAGCAGCATGGGGACAAACTCCCCTCCGGCCCTGGGGTGGGCTGGGGCCAGTGGTGTGGGCAAGGAGCAGAGGGGAGATGGGAGCCCAGCATGGCTGGGAGCACGGTGGCATCGTTCCCAGCACTGCACCCATGTCCCCACACCCTTGGGGACAGATGGACACCTCCTGGGCAGGCACTGAAGCATCCCTGGGAAGGATGCTCCTCAGGAGGGGTGAACTCACACCCAGCGTGGTGGGGCACGGGGAGCTGGGGTCTGGCAGCGAGAGGAGCCGGGTGAGACAATGGTTTGTGCTCACCAGGAGCTGTACGAGACGGTTATTGAGTTTCGGCAGCTGGAGAAGGCAGAGCTGGGAGGAGTGAGAGGGAATATCCTGGGGACCCAGGTGTTTCAGACCTACGAGGAGGTCTCTGAGCTCAGCAAGAGTTTCGCCGACTGCAAATATGATCCCTTGGATCCCGCAGAAGAGGTGAGGGAATGGTACGGGGGCAGAAGCACTTGCCAAGTGATAAAAAGAAAACTGGCTTTGCAGAACAGCTGGAAGAGCTGTGTGTGAAACTGCCCCACAGCAGCCCCCCTGCTCACTTTGGGGCATCTGGGGTCAGTGAATCCTTCAGGAGGGATTTGGGAAGGAGGCGCAGAGGCCGCACCAGCTTAAATCATTTTGCTCCTACTGGCAGCAACTGAACAAAGACTTTGCCGAGTTCCAGAAGAAGATCCAGCACACGGACAGGCGACTGGCCACCATCCTCTGCCAAGGCTTTGATGACTGCAACTGCCTGGCATCCGCCATGAAGGTACATGTCCCCCCAGCTCAACGGGTCCTGCCCTCGGGTGCGGGGTATCCTCAGTGCCCCCAGCCCAGCTCCTGAGGGTGATGGTGAGGGGTGACCAGGCCGTCCCCGTGATGCTCTGGAGCACAGCAACCTGTTTGCCCCACAGCTGGTGTACGTGTTCTCCTCCCTGCTGGAGCGGCCGTTGATAAGGGCGGAGGTTTCCCGGTATTATTCGGTGATGCTGGGGATGTTCAAGGCTGAGCTGGAGGATGTGAAGATGCCGTACGATGCCCAGACCGCATCCCCGCCACCCCTCAATGAGGCAGGTTGCAAAGGGGAGACAACCCAGCTGCATTTCCATGCCCTGAGCCCTGGCCAGGCTGAGACTGGCTGGGACACCCCAGGGGAAAGGCTCGTATGAAATGGGTCCTGGAAGCCCAGGGAGGGGGTTGGGGTACACCAGGCACGTTACCAGCCCCTGCCCAGGCTGTGGTTGAGCCAAGCTGCTGCTGCTGCCATCACAGAAGCCTCCTTCTTCCCCCCAAGCATCATGTCAGTGGGGTGGGGACCCCATTCCTCTGTGAAAGGGGTCCCTCCTCCTGCCACGCTCACCAGCACCCCGTTGGCTCCTCAGGTGAAGTGGAGGCTGCTGCCGGTGGAGTTCCCGTTGGTGGCCAGCGAGCTGGAGGCAGTGGACAGCCAACTGGCCAGTGCCGAGAACACCCTCTCCTGGAACCATGAAGGTACGAGCCCACCCTTGGCCACCCAAGGGCAGAGACCCTTCTTGTGTGTTTCAAGGGGTCCCCAGACTCCATCCCACCTCCCACTCAGTGACTGCCCTTGGGTCCCCACAGCCATCACACCCAAAGCACGGACCCCCCAACCCACAGGCGTGGGTGGGTGGTGAGGCTTGGACATGCATTTTCTGCCCAGGTGTCATGGAGTACATCGAGGACATGAGAGACATCTTGTACGACCTACAGGCCAGGGTCCAGAAAGCCAAGTTAAACATGGAAAAAATCAGACAGCTGATGGAGGTAGCTTCTGCTGGTGCTTTGCGAGTGCCTCCTCGGGAAGCCGCAGTGGGAATTTGCCCTCCCCTTGCAGAGTGGAGCAGCCCTGACCTCTTCTCCCCACAGGAATGCTCAGCCACCCCCTTGTTCAAAAGGAAGGACAACAAGGAGACAGCGCTCTTGGACCTGGAGGGGAAAGTGAGCACCTTAACCAAGCGCTACGCTGCCATCAGGGACACGGGCACGAAGATCCACGAGATGGTGAAGGTGAGACATGTCCCAGGACGCTTCAGTTGGAGCTGGATTAAGGAGTGTCCCCAACATGGGTGTCCTGCAATGCTCTGGACCCAGTGGCATCCCCTCTTTTGCTGCTGTGAGCGGTGGGTCCCACCAGGGGTCCAGTCCTGGGGTCTCTGCTGAGGGGAGGCTCTCGGGAAGGACCGTAAAACACCGCACAGGTCTCCAGAGACCTGCTGCCCCCTCAGGGATGGGAGAAAGGATGGTCCAGGATCTGTGTGACACCAGGAGGGACAGACCCACAGACGGGGACTCACTCGCAGGGTCAGGAGCTGGTGTGTTTACTGACAAGCATTATTTGGGGTTTTTTTCTACTTGCAGGAGAATGAAAACCTGTTTAAGGCTGATAAGTCATCGCAGGTATGGCTGAACTACGTGGGGTACCTCGATGAGATCGTGATGGATGGATTCTTCAACCTGATCCACAAATCTCTGCAGCTGCTGCTCAACAACATGGCCCCTGATGTAGGTCCGGGTTTGCCCCTGCTCGGGATGTGCCACCACTTGCTGTTTGGTGGCCAAACAAGCCCATCCCAGTGCTCCCCCGTTCACCTGGGCAGCGAGTGCCAGAAGTGCTGGTGCCCCCTCTTGTTCCCACTGTGGGGGATGGCAGGGCTTGGGAACCAGGGGGGGACCATGGGGCTAGGGGCTGAGGGGGCCATGGGACGTGAAGGACCACATGGGGGCTACTGACCTGTTTCAGGCGGAGGTGGCCCCGCTGTTCGAGGTGCGGATGGAGCTGCGTGATGGCAAGGTGCAGTACTGTCCCTCGCTGGAGTCAGGGGAAGAGGGCAGCTTCCTGGGGCTGATGGAGAGCCTGCTCAACGACATCTTCTCGGCTGCAGCCTGCATACCTCGGCTGCTGGAGGGAAGGCAGAGCTACAAGGTGAGTCCACAGCCTGTGGCACCTCCCAGCTCAGCTGGAGCTGGGTGAGGATGCCCGGTGCCCTGGGTTGGTCCCAGAGAGCTCTGCCCGTCCCCTCAGATCAGCCTGGAGGAGCAGGTGGACCTCAGCAGGATGCGGGAGGAGGTGGTGTCGCTGGTGGTCAGTGCCATAGCGGAAGGCCAGGAGTACAGCGCTGGCTTCGAGGAGCAGGCTCACCTGTGGCTGCAGAGCCCTGAGGAGTTCCTGCAGCACTTCCTCACCTTGGGCAGTGTCCCCAGCCCCAAGGAGCTGGAGCTGCAGCCGGAGGTGTCTGTGGCCCAGGGGACCCCATCCCTACAGCTCTTTAAGCAGGAGGTATGGGGCTGGTGCATGGGATGCACTGGGTGTCCAGGGGGACACCAGGTGCCCAGGGAGCTGCTGGCCGTGGGATGTGACCAGCTCTTGTCCCCAGATCGACACGTGCAAGGAGTTGTGCGAGGAGGTGTCGGGGTTCTCCAACACCAAGGTGTTTGGGGGGTGGCTGCAGAGCGACTGCCGCCCCTTCAAGCAGGCACTGCTGAGCACCGTCAGGTCCCAGGGCATGGTCCTGAGGCAGCACCTCATCAACCACATCACCACCAGGTAAGGAGCCCGGCGAGACCCCCAGGGGGGCTCCTGGTGACTGCAGACTGGCTGGCTCCCAAGGGATGGAACCATGGGGGCGAGACCCTGGGGGGCCGTGCCCTGTGGAACTAGCCCCAGGCAAGCACGGAGGTGGCCACGGATGCCCAGTGAGCACCACCACCTTCCTCCCAGCCTGCAGGAACTGCAGGATTTCATCCGAGAGGCCAACGCCGGCTTGAATAAACCTCTGGAAGAGGGAGACTACGAGGGGCTGGTGGAGGTGATGGGGCACCTGAACAGGGTGGAGGAGAGGCAAGCGGAGACCGACGGCATGTTCCAGCCCCTGCAGGAGATGGTTGCCCTGCTCAGCACTTACGGAGAGGAGATGCCCGAGGAGATCCACCTGCAGCTCCAGGTGAGCCATGCGGGGTGTAGGGGTGCTGGAGGGGGCTCCCCAGGGCCAGGCTGCCCATGCCATGCGGTGCTCACTGCAGGAGCTGCCCAAGCACTGGGACAGCACCAAGAAGCTGTGCCTGCAGGTCAAGCAGAGCGTGGCGCCCCTGCAAGCCAAGTAGGTCAACATCATCCGCAAGAAGTGCCAGCAGTTCGAGGTACCCACCCTGGGGCTGGGGGGGGTGAACAGTGGTTTTGGGGTGTTGGGGTGAAGGAGGCAGCCCCAGGGGCTGGGGGTCCCCAAGGAGGGACAGCTCCTGGCCCTCGTTGTAGCGGGCCTGAGTCTGTCCTGGGTTTCCCCCATGCCACTTCCTCAGCCCCCCCCCCCAAAATGAGAGATTCGGTTTATTTTGCTTGAATCTAGGTCAACCATTTGCCTTTCCAAGTCTGTTTACAGTCCTAGAAATAACAGCCTAAATGTTGGCTGACTAGGATGAAGGGAACAGCACAGCACTTCATGATAATTAACTCGTCTTTTTCTTCCTATGTAAGTCTTTTAGGTCATCCTGCATAAAATAACACGCTGAACATATTCTGAAAATTATTGGCTATTAAATATTCATGTTTGCACCACTGTATACTAAGACTAAAATAACCTTAAACCTAAAATATAGACCACTGGGGATGAAAAAGGCTGTGCTTTGGAAGAGGCTGACAAGAAAAGATCTTCACATAGTATTTCAGAGCCTGACCTGACAGTCTGCTGTTCTCATCTAACAAGCATTACATGGTCTAGACTAACGTGTGCTTTCAGACTCACATATGTATGTAACACATGTACACAGAACAGAAGGAACAGTACAACTGACAAGTCTCACTGATTTGTAAAACAAATTTCTCCCTTCTGTTTGTTACAATTCCAACAAAAATACAATCGAAAGATGTTCACAATCTCTGACATGGGCCACGTACTATATCCTGCTATATTTAAGAGACCCCTGGCATTGAAATTTTCATTTGGACACACTGTGAACATAATTGCCAAATCAAAGCACCTGTTACACCTGTACTTAAACCACTGTACAGAGTCCATTCAGAACATGCCATTGCCAAAGACACTAAGGCAAATTAGGCATACCTTCTGAAAAGGAATGCACCTGTGTATTCAAATGCACAACTACATTCTTTTTTTGTTTTGGGGGCCACAAGCGGCAGTCACAGGGACAGAGGGGGCACGACAGAGCCGCTGGGGTCCCCTCGCACAGCCGCCCCCGGCTCCCTCAACCCGCTTTCCTCCCTCCCCGCCCCGGCGGCGGGAATCGCCTCAGGGCGGCGCGCGGCCCTCACCGTCGCGCGCGGCCCTCACCGTCCCGCGCAGCCGCACACGCAGGCGCGCGCCGCCGTTCCTGCCCCTGCCCCTGGCCCTCGCGAGCCACCGTAGGAAGAGGCGACGCGGGCGAAGTCGGGTAAGGGGGGGGGGGGGTGTAGGCCGCGGCGGTTCCGCTTCCCCCGCCGAGCCCGATGTGAAGCGCCCCGCGGCGGGACCAGCGAGCGCGGCCATGAAGAAGGACGTGAGGATCCTGCTGGTGGGAGAACGTGAGTGCGGGAGGGACCGGACCGGCCGCGGGGCAGGGCGGGGGCCGAGGCTGTGGGACAGGGCGGGGGCCGTGGGTGAGGGGGAGCCGCTGCCGCCATGCCGCCGGCTGTCACATCGCCCCGGGGCGGCGCGTCCCTCATCGCTGCCTTGGCTCCTTCGCCTCGGGGCGGGGAGGCCCGTCCAGAGCGGCCGGGAGAGGAGCGGAGTTGCCTGGCAGCGGTTGAGGCCGGGAGCTCCGTGCGCGGCTCCAGCGACGGGAGGGAGGCGCCGGCGGGCCCGGCAGCTCCCGGGTTCTCGGCCGGCAGCTCCCGGCTTCTCACCGCACCTTGGCGGGATACCGAGCGTGGAAGTCAGTTTGCGGAGTTGATGTGCTTTTTGCACCTCCCTGGAGACGAGTCGAGGATTAAATTCTTCCTCTGTGTTTGGCCGAGTCCCGTTTCAACTTTTTTGTCTTGGAAGCCAAACTTCAATCTTTCTTATTTCCTATGTCTGGAAATCAGCGGCCAGATGTGCTCCGGGCGGTTGTCAGTCGGGTGTTGTGGACTTGAGGGTAGAACAGGGAGCCAGGTCCCTGCTTCTGCCACTAAACTGTATGACCTTGAATAAACAGCACATACTTATGTGCGTTCCAAAGTTACGGTGAGTCTGTGTTTTGTCATATGTTCCTAAAATTATGTCCTTAAGTTACCCAAATAAGTGATTAGCCTTTCAAAGGTACAGCTTCGTATTGATGTAAATAGCAGCAGGGAGGTCCCGTTGTTAGTTTGTAAAGTGGGCTGAAGTTCCTTACAGGAAAAGAATACGGAGTAATTACCAAGTGTTATTAGTAAAATTACCTACTTATACTAAGAATGTAGTACTACTGACAAAGCTTTCCCGAAAACTGAATGCCTCATGTATATTTATATGCAGTTATGCAGTTATTTTATAAGTGCAGGTTGGCTCTGTACTGCCAGGAAAGATATCTGTGACTTCTTTTTAGAGGAATCTTCAGAGCGATGGTACTGATGCAGAAGGAGTTAACTCACGAAGCTTTTATTTGCCTAGATTTACTGGGTTTATTTAGAAATGTAGTTGTGCATTTGAATACACAGGTGCATTCCTTTTCAGAAGGTATGCCTAATTTTCCTTAGTGTCTTTGGCAATGGCATGTTCTGAATGGACTCTGTACAGTGGTTTAAGTACAGGTGTAACAGGTGCTTTGATTTGGCAATTATGTTCACAGTGTGTCCAAATGAAAATTTCAATGCCAGGGGTCTCTTAAATATAGCAGGATATAGTACGTGGCCCATGTCAGAGATTGTGAACATCTTTCGATTGTATTTTTGTTGGAATTGTAACAAACAGAAGGGAGAAATTTGTTTTACAAATCAGTGAGACTTGTCAGTTGTACTGTTCCTTCTGTTCTGTGTACATGTGTTACATACATATGTGAGTCTGAAAGCACACGTTAGTCTAGACCATGTAATGCTTGTTAGATGAGAACAGCAGACTGTCAGGTCAGGCTCTGAAATACTATGTGAAGATCTTTTCTTGTCAGCCTCTTCCAAAGCACAGCCTTTTTCATCCCCAGTGGTCTATATTTTAGGTTTAAGGTTATTTTAGTCTTAGTATACAGTGGTGCAAACATGAATATTTAATAGCCAATAATTTTCAGAATATGTTCAGCGTGTTATTTTATGCAGGATGACCTAAGAGACTTACATAGGAAGAAAAAGACGAGTTAATTATCATGAAGTGCTGTGCTGTTCCCTTCATCCTAGTCAGCCAACATTTAGGCTGTTATTTCTAGGACTGTAAACAGACTTGGAAAGGCAAATGGTTGACCTAGATTCAAGCAAAATAAACCGAATCTCTACAATTGAACCTACTCTAGAATATTAAGTGTATCAGCTTATAAATACCAAACATCTTTACTAACCAGCAGTTCATAGTCTTATCCTTTCAGTAATATAAAATCAATGAAATGAGTTTCTATATCTGCAAAGCCAACATGTTTTGCTACTGTTTCAACTTAAAGCTGACTTGGTCAGATGCAAAATACATAGCACCATTTTCAGTAATTATCTAATAACATTTGCCTATCAGGAAAGTACATATCTTTTTTTCCTATGGAAATAGGAGAGCTTTTAAAGTTCTTTCAATTCTGTCAGGATGAAACTTAAGGTGCAGTTGATGCAGGAGGACACTTAGCAGTGTAAATTGTGGTTTTAGTTCATACGAGCATCTTGAATGAAAACACAGCCCAATTGTTGTTATAAAACCTGCATCTTACTGCTCTCCAGCTGATGCCACTGGGAAAAACTTACAACTGTTCTCCCTAAGGAAAACAAAAGTCTTCCTCCCCAGGGCAACTTTTCCTTTACTTTTCATAATTTTGTAATAACTGCTCGTTAACTTACCATGATGAAGAGAAGCTTTTGTTTCTGGATGTCAGAAGGCCCTTTGTTACTATGCCAAAAATAAACTTGGATAAGTTGAATGTACTTTGACTAGATCATCAGTTCAGTAATACTAGTTGTACAATTTCATCTCTTCTTCTTCCTCCCATATTCAGAAGTATATACAATTAAATAGGCAAGTGTAAATGCAGTGATATCAGCAAAACGACTTCTGTCAGTTGGTGACAGTTGATACTGTTTTCAGTATGAACAGTGACGCGGGCTCTGACTGTGAGCACTGTACTGGTTGGTAAAACTTTTCAGTATGAACAGTGACGCAGGCTCTGACTGTGAGCACTGTACTGGTTGGTAAAACGTGTGCTAGTGAAGGTGCTGTGTGTCCAGGATGAGGGTTTTTTGCTTGAACTGAGGTCTATCAGAAATAGACAAGCCCAGATAATATTTGAATCTGAACATTTCGTTTTTTTAAGAAATGTCTTGAAAACAACTAACACAGTAATAGTCTCTCAAGGCTTTCAAAGGAATGGGAATTTGACAGATGAAGACTTTTAGAGAGAAGGGAACCCTGAGAAAAGTTACCAACTCTTGATTTTAAAAGGTCACTTGAAATATTCTCAAAACCAAGCAATCCAACTGTGATATCAGATGTCTGAACTTTGCAGGTAAATGGAATAATTTATTTGACCGAATAGAGTTGCATTTTAAAGCAGAGATGATCATCTTCTGGATTAAGAAAAGTATTACTTTAGAGGGGTTGGTGATTTGTTTGCTTTTTTTCACTTCTTGTGGGGGACGGCTCGTTTAAATCAAGGAGATTTTGCTCTTGCACTTTCAAAGTAGCCAAACTCGTTTCTGGAGATTTTGTCCATTGATGACAGAACCAAGTCTTCTTGTCTAGCTCTTATCCTTGGTAGTTTAGGTCTGAAGCGCAATCATCACGTCAAGAACACTATAAAAAGAGTTAATTGCTAAATTCCTTTCTGTGAGCCTTCTTTGTTTCTATTTATTAAGTTGTATTAATGCATTTCTAGTTTGTTTTGAAATTTTGTTTTGTTTGCTTAAATTTTCCATGCTAAGGTTAAAATTGGCTAATTCTTTTGTGTAAGAGCAGGATTTGATTCCCATCTGGATTAAATGCAGAAGTGTAAAATGGACCTTAAGATTTTACAATAAAAGAATTAACAAGAGAATTGCTGTCATCCATATTTAGTGTGTTTAAACAACAGATGAAAAGCCTTTAACATGGTCAGTTGGA